GAGTTGCTTGTTTATTATTGGTTTGTTGCGGGGCGGTTGGTTAGGTGTGGGTGTTTTTTATTCATGTCTTGTTTCTGTGCTGTACGTTTGCACTGGTGTTTTAATTATTACTTTACATGTTGTACTTGTTTATTATTATTTTTTTTTTTGTGTATTGTGCTTGTCCTGTTATGTTTTCTGTTATGCATCTTGATGTTTGTTTTGTTTTGAGAGATGTTACTGTGCTTGCTTGTTTGACAATTGTTTTCTAATTTGTGTCTTGATGTCTGTGTTTTTCACTGCATTTATCGTGTTTGTATTTTGTTGTACTGAGCTGTCGGCCCTTCTGGCCGGTGGTCTATTGTTTTGTTTTGTTATGTTTTCTGTGTGTTTTCCCATTTTTATTGTATTTAAATTGCATGCTTTGCATGTAAAAAAAAAAAAAAAAAAAAAAAAAAAGTTATGGCTGCTACTGGAAGGTAGTGGTGCTTTCTATAACCCCAGTAACATCTGTGAACGCTTGCGGGGCTGAAATGTCCAGAGAGTCTTTGTAGCTTATTCATAGACTGTATTATTAAGCAATGTTACATGCAGAATGTAGTGACATGTATATTGTATTACAGCGGGTGATGTCTACGTCTCATGTGTGATGTATCACTGGGTGATGTCTGTGTCTTATGTGTCTCGGTGTCTCTGTGTGTCTCTGTCTCTGTGTCTCTGTCTCACGTGTGATGTATCACTGTGCGTGATGTCTGTGTCTCATGTGTGATGTATGAGAGCAGCTGATGTCTGTGTCTCAGAGTGTGATGAATCACCATGGGTGATGCCTCTGTCACAAGTGTGACGTATCATTATGGGTGATGTCTGTGTCACAAGTATGATGTATCATCATGGGTGATACCTGTGTCACAAGTGTGATGTATCATTATGGGTGATGCCTGTGTGTCATAAGTGTGATATATCATTATTGATGATGCCTGTCTCACAAGTGTGATGTATCACTGTGGGTGATGTCTGTGTCACCAGTGTGATGTATCATTATAGGTGATGTCTGTGTCATAAGTGTGATATATCATTATTGGTGATGCCTGTGTCACAAGTGTGATGTATATTATGGGTGATGCCTGTGTCACAAGTGTGATGTGATGCCTGTCTCACAAGTGTGATGTATCACTGTGGGTGATGTCTGTGTCACAAGTCCGATGTATCGTTATGGGTGATGCCTGTGTCACAAGTATGATGTATCATTATGGGTGATGATGTGTCTGTGAAGTTAGAAGAACCTGTGTCACAAGTGTTATGTATCACTGTGGGTGATGTCTGTGTCACAAGTGTGATATATCGTTATGGGTGATGCCTGTGTCATAAGTGTGATGTATCACTGTGGGTGATGTCTGTGTCACAAGTGTGATGTATCGTTTTGGGTGATGCCTGTGTCATAAGTGTGATGTATCATTATGGGTGATGCCTGTGTCTCATATGTGCTGCATTACTGTGAGTGATGACTGTTTCTCATATGTGCTGTATCACTGCGTGTCTCATGTGTAATGTATCATTGCAGGTGACGTTTGTCTCTCATGTGTGATGTGTCATTGTAAATGATGTCTGACTCTCATGTGTGATGTATAATTGTAAATTATGTCTGAGTCTCATGTGTAATGTATCACTTTGAGTGATATCTGTGTTTCAAATGTGATGTATCACAGTGGGTAATATCTATGTCGTATGTGAGATGTATCACTGTGGGCAATGACTGTGTCTCATGTGTGATTTATCTCTGCGGGAGGTATTTGTGTCTCATATGCGCTGTGTCACTATGGGTGATGTCTGTATCAGGTGTGCTGTATTCCTGTGGACAACTTATGTGTCTAATGTGTGATGTATCACTGGGCGATGTTTGTGTCTCATATGTGATGTATCACTGTAGGTGATGTCTGTGTCTCATGTGTGATGTATCACTGTCCGTGTGTCATGTGTGATGTATCACTGTCCATGTCTCATGTATGATGTATCACGGTCCGTGTCTCATGTGTGATGTATCACTGTCCGTGTCTCATGTGTGATGTATCACTGTCCGTGTCTCATGTGTGATGTATCACTGTCCATGTCTCATGTATGATGTATCTCGGTCCGTGTCTCATGTCTAATTAACAACAGTGGATTGTAAATTAACCTGTCCTCAGGCCAGGCTCTTTAATGTACTGGCTGTCGCCCAAGATGCATTCATGAATTGTATTGTACTGTCTATGAAAATTACGTTCGTTCTCATATATATGTAAATTAATATTATTGTTCATTAAAATTCTGTGTATAATTTGACATAGATTAGGTTAGGTTAGGTGTCTAGATTCTGGTAGCAATTATTTGTATTTGTAGTAAACCCGTACTAAGTCCAAGTCCATTCCATCCAGCGGTCGATCCTAAAGACATATTCATAAATTTTAACATGCTATTCATTCGAAACATGAATTTTCCTCAAAGATAAATTAATATTATTATGTATCAGCCTATTGTGCATATTTAGGCATTGGTTATTTTAGGTGTTTAGGTTATGTAGGCGATTATTTGTATTTGTAGTACGTGGGTGAATCATTTACAGTGCTATAATTCAAATCCGTCCTCGACTCAAGTTCATTCCATCCAGCGGTCGACACCGCAGACGCATTCATAAATTTTAACATGCTGTTCATTCAAAAAGGGAATTTTCTCAAATATAAATTAATATTATAATATATAAGCATATTGTGCATACATATGCATAGGTTAGGTTCGGTGTTTAGGTCCTGTTGGCGATTATTTGTATTTGTAGTATGTGGGTGAAGCATTTACAGGGTTGTGGTTCGAACAAAATTCGTCAGTGAAGCCCTTGTTCAGGAAGTGTTCGAATGTCATCAGTTGTGAGTCGTGTGTAAACCGTTTTTCATTCATAAACAGGGGGTTTGGCGGGTGCATGGAATCACTTTTGGGTCTGTGTTTGGAGGATGAGCAGTGTAATTTGAACAAAGCCGTCAGCGAAGCACTTGTTGCTCTGGAAGCAGCTCGTCCTCCAAACAAAGATCCAAAAGTGATTCCATGCACCCACCAAACCCCCTGTTTATGAATGAAAAGCGGTTTACACACGACTCACAACTGCTGACATTCGAACATATCCGGAACAAGTGCTTCACTGACGAATTTTGTTCGAATCACAACGCTATAAATGCTTCACCCACGTACTACAAATACAAATAATCGCCAACAGAACCTAAACACCTAACCTAACCTATCCTATGCCTATATATACACAATATGCTAATATATTATAATATTAATTTATACTTGAGAAAATTCCCGTTTTGAGTGAATAGTATGTTAAAATTTATGAATGCGTCTGTGGGGTTGACCGCTGAATGTAATGGACTTGAGTCGAGGACGGGTTGAATTTTGTTCGAATCACAACGCTGTAAATGCTTCACCCACGTACTACAAACACAAATAATCGCCAACAGAACCTAAACACCTGACCTAACCTATGCCTATATATACACAATATGCTAATATATTATAATATTAATTTATACTTGAGAAAATTCCCGGTTTGAATGAACAGCATGTTAAAATTTATGAATGCGTCTGTGGGGTTGACCGCTGAATGTAATGGATTTGAGTCGAGGACGGGTTGTGTAAACAGCCCGTCCTCCAAACAAAGACCCAAAAGTGATTCCATGCACCTGCCAACCCCCCCCCCCTGTTTATGAATGAAAAATGGTTTACACATGACTCACAACAGTTGTCGTTCGAACACTTCCGGAACAAGTGCTTCACTGACGTTCGAATCACAACGCTATAAATGCTTCACCCACGTACTCAAAATACAAATAATTACCAACAGAACCAAAACACCTAACCTAACCTATGCCTATATATATGCACAATATGCTAATATATTATAATATTAATTTATATTTGAGAAAATTCCCGTTTTGAATGAACAGCATGTAAAAATTTATGAATGCGTCTGTGGGGTCGACCGCTGGATGTACAACCCGTCCTCGACTCAAGTCCATTACATTCAGCGGTCAACCGCACAGACGCATTCATAAATTTTAACATGCTGTTCATTCAAAACGGGAATTTTCTTAAGTATAAATTAATATTATAATATATTAGCATATTGTGTATATATAGGTATAGGATAGGTTAGGTTAGGTGTTTAGGTTCTGTTGGCGATTATTTGTATTTGTAGTACGTGGGTGAAGCATTTATAGCGAAGTGGTTCGAACAAAACTCGGCAGTGAAGCACTTGTTCCGGAAGTGTTCGAACGAAATCAGTTGTGAGTCGTCTGTAAACCGTTTTTCATTCATAAACAGGGGGTTTGGCGGGTGCATGGAATCACTTTTGGATCTTTGTTTAGAGGACGGGCTGAGGTAGACAGTTTCCACCTTCATGCTTCATGAGTTTCATGCTCAACCGCTTTGTAGCCAACCCGTCTTCGACTCAAGTCCATTACATCCCAGCCCGTCCTCCAAACAAAGATCCAAAAGTGATTCCATGCACCCGCCAAACCCCCTGTTTATGAATGAAAAGCGGTTTACACACGACTCACAACTGCTGACGTTCGAACATATCCGGAACAAGTGCTTCACTGACGAATTTTGTTCGAACCACTTCGCTATAAATGCTTCACCCACGTACTACAAATGCAAATAATCGCCAACCGAACCTAAACACCTAACCTAACCTAACCTATGCCTATATATGCACAATATGCTAATATATTATAATATTAATTTATATTTGAGAAAATTCTTGTTCTGAATGAACAGCATGTTAAAATTTATGAATGCGTCTGTGGGGGCGACCGCTGGATGTAATGGACTTGAGTCGAGGACGGGTTGGTCTACCTACACTTTACCAACGTAATTACTCCTGAACAACTCGCCAGTAGACTGACGCAATGCTCCGAGGATAGCGTTGCGATGGGTTTCACTGGCGCAACAAGTGAATCTAGCTATAGTTTCTGTGAATTCAATGAGAGTACCTGTAGTGAGGAACAGATCACGCGCTGTGTAGTTCCCGCCGCTGACGGAGACGTTGATGCTGCTGCAGGGGTTGAGTAAGCCACAAGACAGACTCTGGTACATGCAGACAGGGGTCGTGCAGGAGAAAGGCTAAGCCGACGCACGGTACGCAGGAACAGCCAGAACGAGAACGAGAACGGAAGATAACTGTTAGTTAGAAGTTCCAGTACTAGCATAATTACTTGTTCTATTTCATATACAAGTGTCGTCGGCATTATAAGGTATATTTCTTACGAAGCTAACGGGAAGGCAATATTAATCAAGGCGAGAATTTCGTCTTGGACACAACCATCTAAGAAGTATTGAACAGTAGAAGTTAGGGGAGAAAGAAATGTAGGAGTGGTTTCCGATTTGATGTCCAAACGATATGGCAAGGAGGGGAAAGTGAACTGAAATGTAGAATGAGGATGGTAACTTGGTGGGAAGGAAATGTTTTGTGGCCCGTCTACTGTGAATCTGATGTATTAGTGTTGTGCGAGTAATTTGTTGAGTTAGTTAGAACAACGGCCTTGTGGTTCTGGCGTGCTACCGTTGTTAGTGTCCCGGTGGCGTTGTCTTGTTCAAGGGTCCGCTGAAACAAACCTCAAGCTTCCTGCACTGCTTGCTTCTGTTTTTGTATTTTGTTGTTGTTTTGAGATGTTGGTAGTGAGGAAAGCTAAGGAAGAGAAGGAGAACGTGAAAGAAGAGAAGGAGAAGGTAGAGGAATAGGTGATAGAAGAAAAGGAGAAGGTAGAGGAAGAGGAAAAAAAAGAAAGTGGAGGAAAAGAAGGAGAAAGTGAATAATTGCAAAATGAGTCTGTTCAGTGTGACACAACAGTAATTATACAATTCGTAATTAATTTGAATACATCGTTAGATTAGAGGAATACTGTTCCCTCCGTCTAGTTCTTATTCTGCTCCTCCTCCTCCTCCTCAGACTCCTCCGACGTCTTCTCCTCCGACTTCTTATCCTCCTATTTCTTTGTCTCCTCCTACTTCTTCTCCTAATCTTCCTTCCTAGTTCTTCTTATTCTCCTCCTCCTCTTTCTACTTTTCAACCATCTTCTCCTCCTCCTTCTTCTCCTCTTCCTTCTCCACCTCCTTCTTCCCCTTTTTCTCTTCCCCCCTTCTGCTCCTACTCTTCCTTCTACTTCTTCTCCTCCTACTCATCCTCTTCCTATTCCTACTTCTTCTCCTCCTACTTCTTCTTCTCCTCCTCCTCCTACATTTTTTTCTTTATCTTTATCTTCTTCATCTTTTTTTTTGTCTTTTCCCGCTTCTTATTTTTTTTCTTCTTACTCCTCCTTCTCCTCTTTCTTCTCTTCCTCCTTCTCCTTCTTCTCTTCCTCCTCCTTCTACGTCTTCTCCTTCTACTTCTTCTCTTAATTAGAGTCAGACAGAGTGTCAGAGTCTTTGAAGGTTGCTAATATGGTACCAATTTTCAAGAAAAGAGATAGATCACTTGCGTCAGACTATAGACCAATAAGCTTAACGTCTATTGCGGAAAAGTTAGTTGAAACGATAACTGCAAATACCATTCGTCTTTATCTTCAAAAACATAAATAAATAAATGATTCACAACATGGTTTTCCAAATGGCCGTTCATGTTTAAAAAAATTTGCTTTAATTTTATTCTAGCGTAGTCGAGGCAGTTGATTGTGGTTAGGTTTGTGATGTTGTGTACCTTGACTTTAGCGAAGCTTTTCATACAGTGCCACTTGAAAGACTGATTAAAAGGATAGAGATTCACGGAATTGGAGGTAGAATATTAAGTTGCAACCAAATAAGGTATATTTGCTGCCACCTATCCTAGCGCCGTGACCTTTCCTTGTTCTATTGTAAAGACCTCTTGGAACCTCTTGTTGAGTTCTTCACACACCTCTTTGTCATTCTCTGTGTACCTGTCCTCACCCGCTCTAAGTTTCATCACCTGTTCCATCACTGTTGTTTTCCTCCTGATGTGACTGTGTAGTAGCTTTGGTTCGGTCTTGGCTAAAAAAGCTATATAATTTTCATACCTTTTCTCAGCTTTTCTTCTCACACTAACTCGTTCCTAGTTCTCTGGTATCTCTCTCTACTTTCTGGTGTTCTGTTATTACGTAAGTACCTACACGCCTTTTTGTTCAGCTTCTTTGCTTTCATACATTCCCTATTAAACCACGGATTCTTCTTTTGCTTCTCTTTTTTTTCCTGTCGGGCTGGGATAAACCTGTTTACTGCCTCCTAACACTTTTGGGTGACATAGTCCATCATGTCTTGTACGGACTTAGTTCTGAGTTCTGTGTCCCATGGTCTTTCTCTTAGGAATTTATTCATCGGGGGAGCCGGTCGGCCGAACGGACAGCACACTGGACTTGTGATCCTGTGGTTCTGGGTTCGATCCCAGGCGCCGGCGAGAAACAATGGGCAGAGTTTCTTTCACCCTATGCCCCTGTTACCTAGCAGTAAAACAGGTACCTGGGTGTTAGTCAGCTGTCATGGGCTGCTTCCTGGGGGTGGAGGCCTGGTCGAGGACTGGCCGCGGGGACACTAAAAAGCCCCGAAATCATCTCAAGATAACCTAAAGATAGATCGCCTTATAGTTTCCCTTTCGGTACGCCAGCCCTTTGTTGCCCAGTTCATTTTTTGGGGGGGAGATAATTCCTAGCTCAACCAGGTACTCAAAGCTCAATACACTATGAGCACTCATTCCCAAGGGGGCATCCAACTTAACTTCCTTTATATCCGACTCATTTAGGGTAAATATCAGATCAAGCAATGCTGATTCATCCTCTCCTCTCATTCTTGTTGGTCCCTTGACGTGTTGACTTAGAAGGTTTCTTGTTGCAATGTCCAGAAGCTTTGCTCTCCATGTGTCTGGTCCTCCATGCGGGTCTCTGTTCTCCCAATCTATATTCCCGTGGTTGAAGTCTCCTATGATTAGTAGTCTGGATCCGTTCCTGCTAGCTACAGAAGCTGCTCTATTATATTGGTGGTGGCAATGTTGTTTCTATCATATTCCTGTCTGGGTCTTCTGTCGTTTGGGGGGGAGGGGGGTTATATATGACTACTACTATAATTTTCTGTCCTCAAGATGCTATGGTACCTGATATGTAGTCACTGAAACCTTCAATGCCCTGATTAACTATCTCTTCAAAACTCCAACCTTTTCTGATCTGCAAAGCTACACCTCCTCCTTCTCTCTCTTTCCTCACTACAAGGAGATAGGGGGACATAGAGGATATGGGGTGAGAGGGAGGAGGGATAGGGAGGGTATGGGAAGAAGGGGGGGAGGTGGACAGGGGTGTGAAAGGCGGGAGGGGGGACATGGTGGGAATGGGGGAGGGGTGACAGGGTCTGAATTGGATGGGGGGAGGGAGGTTTGGGTGAGCATTTGAGTGGGAGCAGGTAGGATGAGGGGAATGGAGTGTTTCTATGCAGAGAAGGGTGGTGGTGTTGCTGGGATGCTGGTTGTGGGTTCCCCTCTTGTCTCTGGGACTGTTGTGTTGGGGGCTGTGATTTCCTGGTTTACTCCTCTCTCCCTGCGCTTCCTCCTTGCCTCTGCTGCCCTGGCTCTCTCCTCCTTTGTCCTGTCCCTCTGGAGGAATACTTTTTTGTATTCCTCCATCATACTGCCGATGACTCTTCCTTTCTAGAATAACCTCCTTCATGGTCTCATTTGCAAACACCACCTTTACCAGTCGGTTTCTGTCCTTGTTGTACCAGCCCACCCTGAAAACCGTCTCAATGTTTTGTTCAGTGTGAGTGTGTGTGTGTGTGTGTACTCACCTATATGTACTCACCTATATGTGCTTGCAGGATCGAGCATTGACTCTTGGATCCCGCCTTTCTAGCTATCGGTTGTTTACAGCAATGACTCCTGTCCCTGTGTGTGTGTGTGTGTGTGTGTGTGTGTGTGTGTGTGTGTGTGTGTGTGTGTGTGTGTGTGTGTGTGTGTGTGTGTGTGTGTGTGTGTGTGTGTGTGTGTGTGTGTGTGTGTATTCACCTAGTTGTGCTTGCGGGGGTTGAGCTCTGCTCTTTCGGCCCACCTCTCAACTGTTAATCAACTGTTTCTAACTACTAGTACTATTTTTTCCCCACACCACATACACACACACACACACACACTCACCCCAGGAAGCAGCCCGTGACAGCTGACTAACTCCCAGGTACCTTATTTACTGCTAGGTAACAGGGGCATAGGGTGAAAGAAACTCTGCCCATTGTTTCTCGCCGGTGCCCGAGATCGAACCCGGGACCACAGGATCACAGGGTCACGTGACCAGCGTGCTATCAGCTCGGCCACCGGCCCCTATAGGGCCATGATTCTTGTGCTGGGCCAGTGTTGTTAATAGTATTGATCAATCACCGAGTGTGTTATTGTAGTCAGTAAATTGTATGCTCCGTGTCCTATGCAGTAGAGCACAGAGTGTGTTATTTACTGGTGTTCTTCAGCAATTGCAAATTGCCATCGGATTGTAATCATTTAAATCACTGTGTGTTGTGATTTATTGTGTCATGGGTGAACTTGTCATTGGGACGAGGAGTTAGTGTTATTATTCCTGTATATTTGGTTGTCATCGAAGTCCAGTATTCTGTGAATGTTGATTGAGTGGCAATTAATGTAACGTAACCAAGGGAACACCCATTGCTTATAGAGAAATTGTTCCAAGTCAATTTGAGTAACGTAGGATAAGTTTTGGTTAATTATTTTCCAAGGAACAGCTGTTTTGGTTGGTCAGGGATCCTAGCCAAGCAGCCACTTCAGGCGAAGTCAGATAGTCTTGTAGGAATTCCGGGAGGGTTGAAGTCTTGCATTTTAAGTACTGTTGTATATTATCTGTCAGATGGACAGGTTGCAACAGGTTCACGGAAGTCAAGGTAGTTAACTCCGATCTGGGTTGATCGAATCACACGAAGGCTCCATTGTTTCATTAACGTAACGTCGGTTATTAATATCTGTCCGTGGACAGATAATTTGATTGACTCTTGGGAGAGTAACGTCATTGTAAAATAACGTAGACGTGGTAATTAGTTAACGGTCCGTGGGATAGTGAACTAGTCACCTGAGTTCATTGGGGTATGGAAGGCCCCAGAGGGAATTCATGATATTGATGTTATATTTGTTGAGC